GCACGGGGGGTGGCCGCGCCTCTGAGCTCACACCCACTGCAGGTGGCCTCGCTCCCCTCAGCCTGAGTGGGGCAGTCGATGTGGGGGTCAAAGTCCCAGCTGGAAGCATTTTCCTCAGAATGTTGGCGATGCCCTGACCCCTGTTCCTTTCTGCCCTCTCCCCGACGGCCCCACAGTGCTCTCCTGGGCGCTGCCTCACGCCGCTTGCTGTAATGGGAGGGGTTGAGCCCAGTGCAGGTGGTGCCTGCCCAGCAGACACTCAGGGCCACGTAGGCACAGGGGCCGCGTACTGGACCGTTCTCACGCACCGAGATTCCACCTGCCCAGGTCCGTGCTCCCATGCGTCCTCTCTGCCCAGCCTCCCCCTGCCCAGGTCCGTGCTCCCGTGCGTCCTCTCCTGCCGGCCTCCCCCTGCCCAGGTCCATGCTCCCGTGCGTCCTCTCCGCCCAGCCTCCCCCTGCCCAGGTCCGTGCTCCCATGCGTCCTCTCCTGCCGGCCTCCCCCTGCCCAGGTCCATGCTCCCGTGCGTCCTCTCCGCCCAGCCTCCCCCTGCCCAGGTCCGTGCTCCCATGCGTCCTCTCCGCCCTGCCTCCCCCCGCCCAGGTCCGTGCTCCCGTGCGTCCTCTCCTGCCGGCCTCCCCCTGCCCAGGTCCGTGCTCCCGTGCGTCCTCTCCGCCCGGCCTCCCCGTGCCCAGGTCCGTGCTCCCATGCGTCCTCTCCACCCGGCCTCCCCCCGCCCAGGTCCGTGCTCCCGTGCGTCCTCTCCGCCCTGCCTCCCCCCGCCCAGGTCCGTGCTCCCGTGCGTCCTCTCCGCCCTGCCTCCCCCAGCCCAGGTCCGTGCTCCCGTGCGTCCTCTCCGCCCTGCCTCCCCCTGCCCAGGTCCGTGCTCCCGTGCGTCCTCTCCACCCGGCCTCCCCCTGCCCAGGTCCATGCTCCCGTGCGTCCTCTCCTGCCGGCCTCCCCCTGCCCAAGTCCGTGCTCCCATTCGTCCTCTCCGCCCTGCCTCCCCCTGCCCAGGTCCGTGCTCCTGTGTGTCCTCTCCTGCCGGCCTCCCCCTGCCCAGGTCCGTGCTCCCATGCGTCCTCTCCGCCCGGCCTCCCCCTGCCCAGGTCTGTGCTCCCGTGCGTCCTCTCCACCCGGCCTCCCCCTGCCCAGGTCCGTGCTCCTGTGCGTCCTCTCTGCCCGGCCTCCCTCAGATCTGCCCCAGTTTCTCCTCTTCGCTGCCCGGTGTTTCATTGCTTATTTGCTTATCGCTTGTCCCAACTGAAGGCCTCATGAGGACAGGACACTTTGTGTCCCGCTCAGCCCTCCAAGGCCAGTCTCCAAGTTTATTTATTTATTTTTATCACACTTTAAGTTCTGGGGCACATGTGCAGATCATGCAGGATTGTTACATAGGTATGCACACGCCATGGTGGTTTGCTGCATCCATCCCCCTGTCACCTACATTAGGCATGTATCCTAACGTTAACCTTCCCCAATCCCCCCACCCCCTGCTCTCCATTCCCTAGGCCCCCTACCCCCCAACAGGCCCGGGTGTGTGATGCTCCCCTCCCTGTGTCCATGTGTTCTCATTGTTCAGCACCCACTTTTGAGTGAGAACATGCCGTGTTTAATTTTCTGTTCTTCTGTTAGTTTGCTGAGAATGATGGTTTCCAGCTTCATCCATGTCCCTGCAAAGGACATGAACTCATCCTTTTTTATGGCTGCATAGCATTCCATGGTGTATATGTGCCACGTTTTCTTTGTCCAGTCTGTTTTTGATGGGCATTTGGGTTGGTTCCAAGTCTTTGCTATTGTAAACAGTGCTGCAATGAACAAATGTGTGCACGTATCGTGCAAACCATGGGCTGCTGGGCCGGGACGTCCTGCGTGAGCCCAGAAGGCAGTTCCGAGGGGCTCCCCTCATCCCTCTGCTCCCAGCCAGCCCCCACAGGGCAGGTTCTCGGATGCCTCACTGAGGTGTGTGAATATGGGTCTCCGTTCTGGCGCATCCCCGTGGGAGATGAGAACACAGAATGCAGCCCTGAGTTTGAAGCATTCCAGAAGGTTCTTTCTCACCCGCATGCCCACCGCAGTTCTGGGTGCTCACAAAACCTGTCATTGCTTCCAGTAATTTCCCACTCGGTCCTCCTGCCCAGCGTCCCCTGCTGCTGAGGCCCAGGGGAAACACAGGTCAGGCCTGTGAGAAGCTCCTGTTTCAGACAAAGAAATGGTGTCAGCGACAAAACTGGAAACTGTTCCCGGCTTGACACCCGATCCTGCCCCCACACGGCCCTGCCCCATCCCCGGGATCCTGCCCCCACACGGCCTTGCCCCTGACTTGGTCCTACCCTTGTGCCCCCCTCAAGGTTGGCATCTGCATTTTCAGTGCCTTTCTGGGAAAGGGGTGAGTGGGTGGGACCCGAGGCCCTGATTCTCAATGTAGGGAGTGCCCCAGGATTTTTTCCAGCTGTTTTGGGGGAATTTGTGGGATCTCATGGTCATCAGGGGCCACCCACAGGACCCCCACAATGATGGAGTGCGCTTTGGCCATGACTGGTGCTGAGAACTGCAGGTCTGAGAGGGCATCGTGAGGCCCAGGGTTGGGACACGCACCTGTGTCACACGCACCTGTGTCCTCAGCACAGACCCTTCCACCTGCTCTTGTGCCTGTATGTGGAGGCCACATTCAGCTCTTGGCGTGGTGCTGACGGGTGACCTGGTGTCCAGGCTCCTCAGGGAAGCGGCTGTGGTGCCCTGAGTCTAATACCACACGCTGGGTCCTTCGGGGCCTGACTGGGTCTCACTGGAGGCCACGCGTGGTGGGGAGGCGGCCTCAGCAGCCCACGACCGCCCCCTGGGTAGCCCTGCATCCCTGAGCCCTGCCTGGGCGGCACCCCTATGGTGCCATTTCCAACCCCATGGCCCAGCCGTCTGCTTGGAGGTGGGTGCCTTGCAAAGTCCCGGGGGTTTCCCTGCACCCCCCCACTGCCTCAGGCCTGAACATTCACAGTCCCTCCCCTGGCCGGGGCCACCTCCTGCTCAGCAGGCCCTGGGCTCCTGGGCAGAGCCTCCTCGGGCATCCCCAGGGCCACCATACACCCTCCCCAACCCAAAGCTCCTTCTCCAGTTAGAGGCTCTGCACTGTGGTGGTAGCAGCTGTCACATGACTGCTGTGGACCCCCTGGAGAGTGTGACCCATCATGGACCCCAGAGGAGGGCGTCCCCTCATGGATGCTGGGGAGGGTATGACCTGACGTGTTCCCAGAGCTGCAGAGCTGGCGTCCACAGGAGGGGCAGTGGAACTGTGGTATGGGACCTGGAAAGGCAGTGGAACTGTGGCATGGGGTACTGGAAAGGCAGTGGAACTGTGGCATGGGGTACTGGAAAGGCAGTGGAACTGTGGCATGGGGTACTGGAAAGGCAGTGGAACTGTGGTATGGGACCTGGAAAGGCAGTGGAACTGTGGTATGGGACCCGGAAAGGCAGTGGAACTGTGGTATGGGACCCGGAAAGGCAGTGGAACTGTGGCATGGGACCCGGAAAGGCAGTGGAACTGTGGTATGGGACCCGGAAAGGCAGTGGAACTGTGGTATGGGACCCGGAAAGGCAGTGGAACTGTGGCATGGGACCCGGAAAGGCAGTGGAACTGTGGTATGGGACCTGGAAAGGCAGTGGAACTGTGGTATGGGACCCGGAAAGGCAGTGGAACTGTGGTATGGGGGACCCGGAAAGGCAGTGGAACTGTGGTATGGGACCCGGAAAGGCAGTGGAACTGTGGCATGGGGTACTGGAAAGGCAGTGGAACTGTGGCATGGGACCTGGAAAGGCAGTGGAACTGTGGCATGGGGGACCCGGAAAGGCAGTGGAACTGTGGTATGGGACCTGGAAAGGCAGTGGAACTGTGGCATGGGGTACTGGAAAGGCAGTGGAACTGTGGCATGGGACCTGGAAAGGCAGTGGAACTGTGGCATGGGGTACTGGAAAGGCAGTGGAACTGTGGCATGGGGTACTGGAAAGGCAGTGGAACTGTGGCATGGGGTACTGGAAAGGCAGTGGAACTGTGGCATGGGGTACTGGAAAGGCAGTGGAACTGTGGCATGGGGTACTGGAAAGGCAGTGGAACTGTGGCATGGGGTACTGGAAAGGCAGTGGAACTGTGGCATGGGGTACTGGAAAGGCAGTGGAACTGTGGCATGGGGTACTGGAAAGGCAGTGGAACTGTGGCATGGGACCCGGAAAGGCAGTGGAATTGTGGCATGGGGGACCCGGAAAGGCAGTGGAACTGTGGCATGGGACCCGGAAAGGCAGTGGAACTGTGGCATGGGACCCGGAAAGGCAGTGGAACTGTGGCGTGGGGGACCCGGAAAGGCAGTAGAACTGTGGCATGGGGGATCAGGAAAGGCAGTGCGACTGTGGCATGGGGTACTGGAAAGGCCGTGGAACTGTGGCATGGGGGACCTGGAAAGGCAGTGGAACTGTGGCGTGGGGTACTGGAAAGGCAGTGGAACCGTGGCGTGGGGGACCTGGAAAGGCAGTGGAACCGTGGCGTGGGGGACCCGGAAAGGCAGTGGAACTGTGGCGTGGGGGACCCGGAAAGGCAGTGGAACTGTGGCTTGGGGACCCGGAAAGGCAGTTGAACTGTGGCGTGGGGGACCTGGGATAGGCTTTGACGCTGCCAGGTCACACCCTGAGCCTCCTTGGCCTGGAGCCCCTGGGCACTCAGCTCAGCTCCCACCCTGGGCTCTGCTGTGCTGCTGGCTTTATCTGGCTTAGGGGTCCTTGACCCATGGACAGCGGCGGGCAGGGCCTCGCTCGGCTCAGCTCTGTCTGGCAGCTGGACAGACGTGCCCCAGTTCTGAATGTCTGAGGGGCCCCGCACCCAGCCCCACGAGGGCCTGCCTGGCTCAGCCCTTGCCATGTCCTGGTGGTCTCTGGCACGGCGGGTCTCCTGTGTGCCACTCAGGTCTGCCAGGACATGGCCTGGGTGACACCTTTCTCTTCTCCTTCCTCCACAGCAACATGGCTGACAAGGCCAAGCCCGCCAAAGCTGCCAACAGGACGCCCCCCAAGTCCCCGGGGGACCCCTCGAAGGACAGGGCAGCCAAGAGGCTGTCACTGGAGTCGGAGGGTGCCGGTGAGGGGGCAGCTGCGGCCTCCGAGCTCAGCGCCCTGGAAGAGGCCTTTCGGCGCTTCGCCGTGCACGGGGACACCAGGGCCACCGGGAGGGAGATGCACGGTAAGAACTGGTCGAAGTTGTGCAAGGACTGCCAGGTGATCGACGGCAGGAATGTGACTGTCACCGACGTGGACATCGTCTTCAGCAAGATCAAGTGAGTGCGCCGGCCTCTCGAGCCCAAAACCTTGCTTATGGGGTCTGCGGCTCCGAGTCCCTGGGTGGGTTCTGTGGGGAGTGGGCCATGGGGAGGTGAAGGGGGTCATGCTTCAAGACCCCACCCTTCTCAGAAACAGCCCAGACACAGGAGCCTAAACATGCCCTCTGGGCATCCGGGGAGCAGGGGTCCTGGCATTGCTGGACCCCTGGGTGCCATGTCCTGAGTGGCAGCCCCAGCTCCTCCTGGCCGCATGGTCTGTGGGGGCTGGGCATGGGAGGTGGCCTGAGAGGCTGTCTGGCCTTGGAGACAACTTGGGGTGAACGCTGCACCCTGAAGTCAGGGAGCCGTGGCTGGGATCACTGGGCCATCCCAGGAATGGGGATCGGGCCTGCCTGGAGCCTGGAGAGGCAGGTGGCTGCTGGCGGGCAGAGCTCCCAACCCTCCGCGGGCTGGCTTGGGCTGAGTCTGTGGGGTTGGGCGCTTGTGTCCCGTGCACGGAGCTGGCCTCTCGGGTGTCCCCAGCCTCTCCCACAGATTTATGTCACTCCACTGCTGCCTGGGGACTCCCACGGGCCCCAAAACAGCAAAGGGCACCAAGGGGGCAGCAGCAGCCACCACTGTGAAACCACATTGCGCCGCGTGCTTTGTCTGCGTCTTGTGTGCACATATATGTTGCTGTGTCAAGTGTGTGCCTGTTTTCTCCTGGACGCTGGGAAGCACGCTGAGGCACCCTTACACACCCCGGCACATTTCCCACATGTCCCGACACTCGATGTGATCGCGCCTGATGAAAGCAGTGGTTACCCCAGCCCCGGGTCCAGCCCCGTCCCGTCTCCTGGGTGGAAGTGGCTTCATTTCCCTGGTTCCCCTGAGCCCCGGGTCCAGCCCCGTCCCATCTCCTGGGTGGAAGTGGCTTCATTTCCAAGGTTCCCCTGAGCCCCGGGTCCAGCCCCGTCCCGTCTCCTGGGTGGAAGCGGCTTCATTTCCAAGGTTCCCCCAGCCCCAGGTCCAGCCCCGTCCTGTCACTTGGGTAGAAGTGGCTTCATTTCATTTTGACGGTTCCCCCAGCCCCGGATCCGGCCCCGTCCCGTCTCCTGGGTGAAAATGGCTTCATTTCCACGGTTTCCCCAGCCCCGGGTCCAGCCCCATCCCGTCTCCTGGGTGGAAGTGGCTTCATTTCCACGGTTTCCCCAGCCCTGGGTCCAGCCCCGTCCCGTCTCCTGGGTGGAAGTGGTTTTATTTCCATGCTTCCCCCAACCCCGGGTCCAGCCCTGTCCCGTCTCCTGGGTGGAAGTGGCTTCATTTCCACACTTCCCCCAGCCCCAGGTCCAGCCCCGTCTCGTCTCCTGGGTGGAAGTGGCTTCATTTCCAAGGTTCCCCTGAGCCCCAGGTCCAGCCCCGTCCCGTCTCCTGGGTGGAAGTGGCTTCATTTCCAAGGTTCCCCTGAGCCCCAGGTCCAGCCCCGTCCTGTCTCCTGGGTGGAAGTGGCTTCATTTCATTTTGACGGTTCCCCGAGCCCCGGGTCCAGCCCCGTCCCGTCTCCTGGGTGGAAGCGGCTTCATTTCCACGGTTTCCCCAGCCCCGGGTCCAGCCCCATCCCGTCTCCTGGGTGGAAGTGGCTTCATTTCCCTGGTTCCCCGAGCCCCGGGTCCAGCCCCGTCCCATCTCCTGGGTGGAAGCGGCTTCATTTCCACGGTTTCCCCAGCCCCGGGTCCAGCCCCATCCCGTCTCCTGGGTGGAAGTGGCTTCATTTCCACGCTTCCCCCAGCCCCAGGTCCAGCCCCGTCCCATCTCCTGGGTGGAAGTGGCTTCATTTCATTTTGACGGTTCCCCCAGCCCCAGGTCCGGCCCCATCCCGTCTCCTGGGTGGAAGTGGCTTCATTTCCACGGTTCCCCCAACCCCGGGTCCAGCCCTGTCCCGTCTCCTGGGTGGAAGTGGCTTCATTTCCATGGTTCGTCCAGCCCCGTCCTGTCACCTGGGTGGAAGTGGCTTCATTTCATTTTGACGGTTCCCCCAGCCCCAGGTCCGGCCCCATCCCGTCTCCTGGGTGGAAGTGGCTTCATTTCCACAGTTTCCCCAGCCCCGGGTCCGGACCCGTCCCGTCTCCTGGGTGGAAGTGGCTTCATTTCATTTCCACGGTCTGCTCCTGCTCCTGCACTCGCTGCAGCCAACGTGACCCATTTCATTTCCACATCGCTGTAACCGCATCATCTCTTTCACCTCAGAGGTCCTGCCACCTTCCCACCAGCAACCTTGGCTTTTCGAGGGGCCGAGCCGGGGCGGGGGCAGACACCCCGTGCTGAAGGCTGTTGGGGGGCTCACGTCTGCAGCACCAGCGCCCCGTCTACCAGCTCTGGGGGGGCCCTGTGGCCTTTGTAGCGGTGCCATCTCTGCTGTGCTCCATGGTGACGTCACGTGTGTCCCCAGATCATGCGTGTCCCCTGGGTCTCTGTTGTCTCCTGGGTCGTGTGTTGTTCCTGGACTGTGTGTGTCCTGGTGAGCTTCCTGTTGTGTGTGGCACATCTGAGGGCATTTGGGTTTGGAAAGTTATGCTTTCCAGACGTGGTGGCGTGTGCCTGTCATCCCAGCTACTCGGGAGGCTGAGGGAGGAGGATTGCTTAAGCCCGGAGTTCTGGGCTGTAGTGTGCTGTGCCCATCCGGTGTCCGCGCTAAGTTCAGCATCAATATGGTGACCTCCTGGGAGTGGGGAACCACCAGGTTGCTAACGAAAGTTATGCTGGAAAAGCCGTGAAACCACCAGAAGGGTGCCTGAACCCAGACTCTCTCTCCTGCCAACTGACTGCCTTTCAGGCTGCCCCGGCTCTAGGGGATGGTGTGGGGTGGCCAGACCAGCAAGCCCTGTTCGTCATCCTGATACCTCTCAGCCTCAGTCCTGGAGAAGCTGGAGGAGAGGCTCCATCAGGGGCCCCAGGTGTCAGCTGGTCTCACCCTTGACCCTGTCCCGACCCAGTGCCCCTAGTTCCCTTCTTTGTGACTTCCCAGTCTCCACGTCCTCAGGGGCTCAGGCATTGGCTGGTGTGAGAGGAGGCTGTGGCTGGAGCCTCTGGCAAGGTAGCCATGCAGCCTCGCGCTCCCTGGCCTCTGACAGGGCTGCTGTTTGCTGATGCCACAGCGGTCGGAGCCCACACCCACCAAGGACCACTCATCCCTGGGAACCCTGGAGACCAGGAGGGCACACAGAGCGTGCCCAAGCGAGGGGACCAGCAAGGCCCTGACAAAGGCTGGGTCTCAGCCTGTGAGGGTTCATTCAACAGCCCACACCCCTGGTGCTGCACCCTCGGCCACAGACTCTCCATGGACTATCTCAGGGCTCGGGGCCCACTGTCCCTGCACCTCCCTCAGGACTGTGGTGGAGGTGACTCTGCTGTCCAGACCCCACTTGTGGGCTCTATGGTGAAGGGTGGCTCCCACAGGCTCCCTGGGGCTCAGCACGTCACATGCAGGCCTCACTGTGCCAGCCAGCACCTGGGGGACAGACCAGCCTGCTGTCCGCTGCTGGAAACCTGCAGCCTCCTGCAGCAGCAGGCCACGTGACGTGGGCTTGTGTGGACGGCCCCAGCCAGCATCTGGCAGGTCCTGCTGATCAGGGCCACTCTGGTGGGTCAGCAGCCACGGGCAGGCGGCACTGACCTGCGCTGCGCCTGGGAGGTCGGGGGCCAGAGCCTCTGGCACTGGCACTGCCCTTGTCTTGAGCCCAGAACTCACTCTGCCAAGGGGACATGTCCTGGGCACACGGACCGGGAGAGGGAAACTGGGTCGGCTATATTTAGTGTGTGCAGTGGCAGGCGGAGCTCGTGGTGTGGCCACCGTGTCTGGACCCTGCGTGGGCATGGGCAGGGCAGGCTCCTCCCCTTGGCCACCAGGGCCCTTGCTTCCCACAGTGGTCCTCCTCCTCCCTCAGGTGTCCTTGCTTGGAGGGGCAGCCCCTTCTCAGATCCCAGCCCATAATCCCTGGCCGACAGCTGCCTCTCAGCAGGCCTGGGTGTGTGGGTGTGTCTGGGACCAGTCCCGGCTGCCCTCTCTGCCACCCAGTGTGTGCTCCAGGATACACAGGAGCAGACCTGGGGCGAAGCAGTGTGGAGGTGGTGCCCGTGGGTGAAGCTTCTAGAAGGACTGGGCGGGAAGCAGGAGGAGCCTGTCCAGGAGCTGTCAGCCCCACAGGGCTGCCTTGGCATCGGCCAGGACACACTGTACGATTACTTCTGCAGAAAGGTTCCCTCAAGCTGTGGCACATGTGTGCACATGGCTATGCACGTGCACACACACCTACACACACATACAACTCACACAGCCCCACATGTGCACACACACACCTGCACACATGCAGAACTCATATGGCCCCACACGTGCACACACATACCTACACACACATGCTGAAATCACATGGGTGCACACGTGCACACACGTGCCTGCAGACATGCAGAACTAACATAACTGCACATGTGCACACCTGCACACATGTGCCTACACAGACACGCAGAACTCACACAGCTGCACACATGCACACACATGCCTACACACGCAGAAATCACATGACCTGCACAGACACACAGAACACTGCACACATGCGCACACATGCCTGCACACACGCAGAAATCACAGCCGCACACATGCACACACACACCTACACACATGCAGAACTCACAGGGCCCTACACGTGCACACACATGCAGAACTCACATGGCCTCACAAGTGCACACACATGCCTGCACACACATGCCTGCACACACATGCAGAACTCGCCCTGTGGTGGGTGGGGCCGTGCTGCTGTGGTTCACTTGGAGGATGATGGGAGCCCTTCCCTGCTTGTGGGGGTGCTGGTGCCACAGGAGGCCAGAGGAGCCCCAGCCAGTCCAGGCTCACTGCCAGAAGCAAGGCTGGAGCTGCTCAGGCACTTGGGAGCCGAGGCTCGGCCCCCCAACTCTAGCACGACCACTTCCCCACTACAGAGCCCGGGACCAGCCTTGGGGTGTGC